CATTCCCGGGCCACATTCTGGAGGGCCGGATGCAACAGTCACACACTTCGTGCTCTTCGAGTTCCCAGAACTCCATTCCCGGGCCACATTCTGGAGGGCCGGATGCAACAGTCACACACTTCGTGCTCTTCGAGTTCCCAGAACTCCATTCCCGGGCCACATTTTGGATGCCCGGAGCCAACTGTAGGCCACTTCGTGCTCTTCGATTTCCAGTCCATTCCCGGGCCACGGGCCACATTTTGAATGCCCGGAGCAACAGTCGGCTCTCTTCGAGTGCCCAGAACTCCATTCCTGGGCCACATTTTGAATGCCCGGAGCCAACTGTAGGCCACTTCGTGCTCTTCGAGTTCCCAGAACTCCATTCCCGGGCCGCATTTTGATGCTGATGCAGAGGCTGAGAATGGTGATGCTGATGCTGAGGCTGAGGCTGAGGCAGGCTGAGGCTGATGAGGCTGAGGCAGGCTGAGGCTGAGGCCGAGGCTGAAGGCAGGCTGAGGCAGACGCTGAGGCAGGCTGAGGCTGAGGCAGGCTGAGGCTGAGGCTGAGGCTGAGGCAGGCTGATGCTGAGGCAGGCTGAGGCTGAGGCTGAGGCTGAAGGCAGACTGAGGCTGAGGCAGGCTGAGGCAGACGCTGAGGCAGGCTGATGCTGAGGCAGGCTGAGGCTGAGGCTGAGGCTGAGGCGGATGCAGGCTGATGCTGAGGCAGGCTGAGGCACAGAGGCTGAGGCTGAAGGCAGACTGAGGCTGAGGCTGAAGCAGGCTGAGGCTGAGGCTGAGGCAGGCTGAGGCTGAGGCTGAGGCAGGCTGATACTGAGGCAGGCTGAGGCTGTGACTGCGACTGCCGCTGCCACTGCGACTGTCATCGCGAATGCGACTGCGACTGCGAGAACAGCAGAACTCTACAACTGGATTCTCATCTGAATCTTAAGGGGAATGCTTCCATATATGCTTCTACACATCGCTGTTAGGTTGCTTTGCCGGGATAATTTTTGTCGGTTTTTATGGCCCCGGAAGGGGGGGGGGACATCTTGGTCCGTTCATGTGGCGCGACTGCAGGGGGGGTTATGGGGGGAAACATATTAATGTAACACAATACAGTATGTGGGAATTATGCAAACATTGGACACATTGGATCCACTGCATTACGGCATCCGCGGAAAACGCTGCCGCCCAGCACGTCACTTCCGGACGTGGATTCTTAGGCTTACGCCACACCGCCGACCCCTGTCGAAGCCGACTTGGGGGCCTGTTGGGGCCCCTCGGGGCCTCTTGGGGGCCTTTGGGGAGCTTCTCGGGGCCTCTTTGGGGCCTTTTGGGGGCGTCTGGGGGCCTTTTTGGATCCTCTTCTGGCCTCCTGGAAGCCTCTAAGGGCGGACGGCTGAAATGTTGGTTTCGTGGTCCTCCCTTTCGGGCCCCTCTTGGGGCTGTTTTGGAACCCTTTTGGGTCGGTTTGGGCGCCTCTTGTGCCGTGTTGGGGGCTTTCTGGGAGCCTATGGGAGGGCGATCTTGGAATTCTAAAGTGAGCTCGGACAAGGGCGAGAGATAGCGAGCGTTTGTCCGCGGCCGTTTGTGTTCAAGCGAACGGCCGCCAACATATGATTGCGCCTCATTGTGAGGCATACTACTTGCCATCGGGACCGAATACATCCTTCGCTTGAGATGGCCCGTCGTTCCGGCGATGACCTCCTCCGACTGAAATTATCGTTACTACGGTACATCAGAGCTGGAGCTGCGCTTCGCCTAAGGCGAAACTTCTGGACGGGCCCACTGGCCCCCTTCAAATTTGGTAGCGGAGCTGGCCTATGGTGGTCAGCTCTCGCTCTACTCCTCACCATCCACGGCACTATCTGGTGGGCTACTGACATGGTGGAACATCAGGGTGCAGTGGGTCTGCGCGGAGGAATGTACATAACTACGCACAGCCGCTAGGACATTTGCAGAGCTACCTCTGCTCTTGCGGAGGCCTATTACTCGAGTCCTACATCTCTGCGCTATTACACTCCTGAGGTCCACCCACCTATTCCAATTGGATTTTTTTTGATGATACCATGCATGGCCACATGCGGTGCGATATTGCGTCGTCTCCACCCCCACGCAGGCTTACAACAAAACGCCACAGACCCCAGCCACCAACATCCGACCACGACCTACGGGGCCATTGGATTGGCATTACAACCTTGTGTCTTATATGGGTCGCCATCGGGTGTGCTGTGGGACACGTGCGCGGCGGAGACGACGCAATACCAACCGGCCCCCATTGGGGCCCAGCTTCTCAAGTACCTTTCCGCGAATTCGTTCGAGGGGTACATGCCTGGATCAACGTGGCCGCAGGTAATGTGATGCCCTTCCAACAAGCTGCAGCACTGCAGCGTGGTCTGCGAGGTCTTGCACGGACCATGGCCATGAGAGTTCCCCCCGCAGTCGCCAAAATTGGCGTTGACATTGGTAGCCGTCTTACCGATGGTGCCACCCACATCGTGTTCCTCCTTAGCGCGAAGTTTGAGAACTCAGAGGAGGAACGCCAACTTAACTCGGGAACGGCCCCCATCGACTTTCGAGTCCATCCGGGGGAGCGGATCGACCAGACATCGGCGCGCATCGAGATAGCCCGCTACGAGGCTGTTGCGGCGGGCTTTAACATCCCCAACTTCCAATCCCTGACAGTTAATCTGTTCAGAGCCATAGGGGCGGGGGCGTCGCGCGCAAGACAACTCCTACAGCCGCTCAACCTCCAGATGCCGAGGAATTAACGGCCATTGGATTCTCTGCTTGAGCGCCCGAGGTCATATGCTCATATCGCTCAGCGAGCCCCCGGCAATATTGGTGGTATTTTCAGCCGCGGTCTCCGCGCCGAGACTTTGCATGCTGAAGCCAATGCGAAGCAACCTGCGACAGACGTCCGGGATGGCGATCCGCAGCCAAAGGGGGCCACCGCGCTATTAGCTCAAAATGGTGGCCCGGCTGCGGTGCCGCAAGATTCCAGGGCCATATGCCAGGGGCCGTCGGCAAGGGCGGCCTTTGCGCGAGCCGCTGCCCTTCTAGGTTCGACGGGGCAACCCGCTGAGTCTGACTTCGACTCTGGAATCGACGCCGACGCGTCATCAGACGACAAAGCGAATGCCCGAGACTACTCCGACATGCCCGCGTATCTTACGGAAGACCAACGGGCTCAATGGCTGTTTCTAGGATATCAGAAGCATAAACTCAGATGGGGACGGTTTAGGAAGAAGCCAATTCGCAAGGTACGACGCACTATCCGACGGGCACTCAGGGGGAAGGGTGAGGGTCGAGGCAAGGGTAAGGTCAAACGACGGCGATTGCATGGCAGAGGTATGTTAGCGTTCCTGGCATCCCTTACTGAACCACAATATGAAGAAGCATTACTGAGTGCAGGCAGGGGTCGTAGGTGCACATCAGGAAAGGGCGAGGGATGTCGGGGCAACCCGAAAGACGCTAACGGTAAAACGATGGAATGTGACATTTGCCATGGCACGCAGCACCCCCGCCGTGAATGCCCCCGAGGCGATGGGGGGGGCAGAGGTCCGTCGATGCATTTGGCGCAAACCGATTCGGACGTACAGTATGTCGATTTGGAATCGTTACTGACCGACCTTGCCGACAATCCAGCTGCAGTTGTCAACTTCATGGCTGCCAGATATCTATGTGCCAGTATGTCCCTCGAGAATTGCGCCGGCGAGCTCTTCGAGGAGATATGCGTTGACCATAATGGGATCAACCTGGCAGACTGGTCAGGCATGCCCATCGCGGGCAACCTGCGCAGATCGAATTGATTGAGGATTTCCATGTGCCCGCTGATGTAGATCAAGATATGGCGGGGGCGCCTGCGGATTCTGAAGCCACAATTCCAGCGACGGAAGAGGAAATGCGCAACGTGCTTCATCCTCAGGTCATTGACAATCCGACAAACATGTAATCATATGGCGATCATTATCTGCGGGGGGGCCCGCGAGATACTGGCGACCTTTCAGAGCGCATCCAGTGCGAACTCGGACATGATGAAGATCATTTTGCGTTCGTGGCTATGTGGCGGTCTCCGAGCCGCCGGGGGCGATCAAATGGCCGCCAAGTATGGGGGCGGGCGAATCGCTTAGATGATGGCGAAGACGAAAGGGAAGCTGAGGGCCGGCGCATGCAGCGTCGCGGTCGCGCCCGCAGCTACTCGCGCGGACATTCGCGCGCGCGCTCCAGCGGTGCTCGCTCCGGCGGCAGCCGGCGCCCTCGCCCCCCCGATGCGAGGGCCCCAAGGGCCCCGTGCCCAGGGCCCCGCCGAGGAGGGGGCGCCTGCGGGGAAACCCGCCTCAGAGGGAAGACCGTCTAGCCACGTCCCAGGCAGGGGGCGCGCAACGCCGTGTCAGCTATGATGATAATGGCTTAACTCGCCAGTGTATACGTCCCAATGCAGTGGGGTATTGGCTCGACCAAGGCCGGGCCGAGCACGACGTCCGTCGCTGGTATTCTCTTTCTATAGAATTGGGCGGGATGACAGAGGCATCGCCGCCCGCTCCAACAGAGGCGCGGGCGCCGAGACGCAGGGCGCCCTTCGGGGGCGGGGCCTCAAGAGGGCCGTCATCAATGACTGGGAGGAGTGTCGGGGTTCTGTCTGTACTTGCTTCTATTATGCCGACCGCAGACCTGGTTGCTCGATGAGGCGTCCGTCAAGAAGCCCTAACTTCAGAGGAACGCCATGGGTCTGGTCCCGTGGTGATGGCCGTGGTCACGCTGTAGATGCGACCAATCATCCGCCAGCGGAACAGCTGGCGGAAGATGACTGCCAGCCGGTTGATGAGCATGAGAGAGTTCGCGCCGAGGAATGGGGGAACCTTGCTCCAAATCGCTGCCTTATGGTATACAATCGAGAGTGTCATGCGGGGCAGCCCGCTTCGTCCGCGCAAGAAGGCGCCGACCAGCCAGAAGGCGATGAAGGGGCTGGTGACCTGGTCCTTGCCAGGGCAGTGGGCCCCGCCGAGGCTGCTCCTTCAGGGTCTGACTCGGACTGCGTCGGCGCGGCCTGCGCCTCTGCCGCGGACTGCGCCCGCGACGCCGATGCAATGATAGATGCTTGTGACAGGGTTACAGGAGATTTGAATCTCGCTCCTGGCAGGATAGTCGCCTCCCACGGTCCAGGGGTGGGTTGGATCAAACCCTGAATGTAAAACAGATTGCAGTTGATAGGTATGATTTGGGTTGCAGGAGAAGGTCAAGACCAACAACATTGCACTCGGGAAGCCTTGTGAGCCGGATGTCCCTAATGGCGGGGGCAAGGCCAGGCGCTCTTCAGCGGGAGCAACCGCAGCGGCAAAGCCGCCGGGACCTCCTCCCAAATTGAAGCCAACTAAGGAAACATGTATATCCCCATCTTTGTACTTTTCAAGCCAGCGCACGTCGCTCGAACCCGATCAGCTTGCGCCACCGCCTAAGCAGAAGAAGAGAAACAATCCAGATGATCCCCATCTTGGCAACATCAAGTCTAAGCGTCCTGCGGGGGAACCCGCTGAGAGACATCGCTCCAGAGGACCAGCAGTGGCTGCCGCAGCAGCAGTGTTCCAGGGCGACAGTACGCCTACTCCAGAAGATCCGGTATGTCGACGCGGCCCGACACTTGGCAGGACTCGCAGGACGTGCTGGGCGCCATCACTGGGAGGATCATCCAAGGATGCCTCTTCATCAAAGGGCGGTGCTAAGCAGAAGATGTTGGAAACTATTTCGAAGGCATCAGGAGCGGCTCCCAAGATCAGTGGATGCCCGTTCTCCGAGCGCAGAATATGACTACCACCACCAAGATCGAGAATAATATACGATGCGATTTGGTGCAGTTTTGCTATGGTGAGAAGCCCGCTGCCCACCTCCCGCCGCCAACGGCAAACTGGCTGCCGCCTCTCTCTTAAGGGCCGAAGCAGGATTCATCGAAGCACGCGCGGTGGTGGTGTATAAAATTCTGGTTACTAAGGGGAGCGATTTTTATGCGCCACCACCAAGAAGTGATGTTTCTGCTCCAGGAACTCCCCGTGCAGCGGAGCCTGCGAGCTGCGCCGCGCTCCTTTTCGCCGTGGCGTCTCAGCGTCGTCTGGCATGGCCTTGCCCCTGACCCTTTTTGCGGTGATTCATTGTTGCGGGCGGTGGTGGTGTATAGAAATTGGCCTCGCACGTTCTTCGACATTCGTGATTCCCGAATTCCCGGGGCATCTGGGGGCGCTAGCTCATCGGCAGCGCCGGCAGCGCCTGCAGTGTCTGAGCCAGTGAGGCTGCGTGGCGAGCCGGCCATTGCTCCTGCGGGGCAACCCGCTGTTGCCATCGAAATGCTAGAAGAATGCAGGCTTTATTGGGGGCAGCTGGGCACTGCCAACCGAATGAATATCAACCCGGCGTGCAGGCCCTTCACCAACGACGGGTCTGACCGATGCGTTGCGGTGCAGTGCGACGCCCGATGTGCTGCCGTGCATGTTGGCGATGCAGCTCGCGCTCGCCAGGTTGTCCGCAACGTCTCGCGGAAGGAACCTGCCTTAGCAATGGCTCCGAGAAAAAGTGCCTGAAGGGGGTCCTCAAGGAAGCGGGGGTCCTTGTAGTAAAACTAAACGAACATGAAAAGCGTGAGTGTTCGGAATGGCTCGCCGCCGCTATTCGCCGCAAGCCGTTTCATCGCGACCATATTTCTGATGGGCGCGTTAAATCGGTCGCGCCCTTGGACGGGTGCGACGGCTAGGTGGAGCTCGCGGACTTGCTCAACAATTGGCCGCCCGAAGGCTACTATGACTGGCATAATCGCCACCTGAGAACTGTCCAGGGGGGCCCTCGTGGCCGCCGCTGGGCCTATCAGGCGCTGTCGGTGCTGGACCTTGTCGACGTGATCGGCCGTTCAGGCATGCGCAAGTACAGCCTCCAGGTAAAGAAGCCCAAATGCGCAAGCGGGTCCCGTCCGACGTATTTCCTGCGCCCAAGCAATGGGCGTAGCAGCCCTGGCATAAAGCGCCCTGGGTCCCTGTGCAAAAGGGTGGCCGATTTGACATCGCCAGGGGCGCCTTGCTATTTATCCGTGGTGCCAAATGGGTCAACATCCCGAACGAGCTCCGTGTCGGGCTGTCATGCCGTGCTGATGATGCGATCAGGGGCAGGCAATTTATTCATGGATGCCCATAGCGACCTGGAGATAACAGAGTCCAGTCTTGCCTGCGCATAGTTTCCGAAGTATTGGTCATGGTAAATTTCAAAAACCTACTTCGTGGCAGTATCGCAATTCGGCGTTCCGCTATTATCATGGCGGCAGGCAAGACCTGCATGATTTCGCAAAGCCACAGGTGCGTATATGCATGCAGGTTTGTTCACTCGCTGGCATGCGTATGCGTGCATGTGTGAAGTTAGTTAACTACGCATACATCAATGTATATATGTATGTACATATATATGCACCTATACGACCACCCTTCGGGTGATAAAGGGGGTTCGGGGTGTGGGGTGGCGGGGGGAGAGGCTGTGCCGGGGTGGGGGGTGTGGGGCGGGGGGGGGGGGGCAGCGTCTCACCCGATCGATCTCGCAATTGATATCAATATCGATCTCACTATCGGTCTCGCTCGATCAATCTCATTCGATCGGTCTCACAATCGATCCCACTCGATCTATTTCATTTGATGGGTCTCGCAATCGTTCTGACCATGGACCTCGCAATCGATGTCACTATCGATCTCGCTATCGATTTCGCAATCGATCTCACATTCGGTCTCGCTACCGGTCGCGCAATCGATACCACAATCGATCTCACAATCAACGTCATCATTATCATCACCATCATCACCGTCATCAGCGGCATCATCATCATCATCATCATCATCGGGACACCATTATCATCATCACCTCCGTCATCGTCATCGGGACACCATCATCGTCACCATCATCATCATGAACATTATCATCATCATGGGGAAACCTTCATCATCATATTCGGAACACCGCCATCTTCATCTCATCATCATCATGAACAACATCTTCAACATCATCATCATCGGGGCACCAGCATCATCAGCAATATCATCATCCTCATCATCGTCATCACCGGCACACCATCATCATCGATATCATCATCATCACCATCGTCGTCATCACCATCATCATCGGGGCACCGTCATCATCATCAACATCAGCATCATCATCATCACTGTCATCGGTCCACGAGTATCAAAATCATCATCAGCATCTCATCCTCGTCCTCATCATCAACATCATCATCATCAAGACACCAATTTTTACATCATTATCATCATCGGGACACCATCATCATCACCATCATCATCAACATCATCATCATCATCAACCTCATCACCATCATCATCGGGACACCATCATCATCAACTTTTTTCATCAGCATCATATCATTATCATATTATCATCATCGACGTAGCCAGGGTCATCAACATCATCATCATTATCAACGGGACACCACCATCATCAACATCGTCATCATCAACATCATCATCGGGACACCATCATCATCACCACCATCACCATCATCATCATAAACATCGTCATCATCATCATCATCGTCATCGCGACACCATCATCACCACCATCACCATCACCAGTACCATCATCAACATCACCGACATCATTATCATCATCAGCATTATCATCATCATCATCATCATCAGCATCATCGGAACTAACAAACCAGACAATCAAACGGACACAACACCACAACAACTAGAAAAAACAAACAAACAAACAACAACAAACACACATATACAAAAACCTAAAACATACAACAAAACACAACCAATATACACAAAAAAAAAACTAATCAACCAAACAAAAAACCAACCAACATCACAACAACCAACAACTAAACACACAACCCCAACACATCCACAAGAGCCAACACATCCACAAGAACAAAACACCCAACACAGACAAAAACAAGACACAACACAAAACAAACAACAAAAAAGAAGGGGGAGGGGGGGGGGGGGGGGGGGGGGGGTTAGGGGGTAATACAAAAAATCACACAAAACAATAAAAGTCAAAAATCAAATTCAATCACAACAACAACAACTACAAAACAACACAATAACAAAACCCAACTAAACCAACCCGACGGGACACCGGCGGGACACCAGCGGGACACCGCGGGCCCCCGGAAAATAATCATTTGGTCTGGCCGCGCCTCAGCCGGAGTCGGGATACCGGCGGGACACCGCGGGCCACCGGCCCCCGGAAAAAAAATCATTTGGTCCGGCCGCGCCTCAGCCAGAGGAGACTTTGTTCTCGCCCGCCCACGCAGTTTCGCCTCGCCCGCACGCACGGCGCGCACGAACACGAAACCGAAACCGATTTCCCGGTAGGGGGTTTCCCGTTCCACTTCGATCTCACCTACTCACCTCCGATATATAGATATGCAGATGCACTCGCGATTGTGGAGGCATGCCTATGGCTATGTCCATGTCTATGTTTATTATTGTATATATATATATATATATATATATATATATATATGTATCGACATTTTTTTTTGTTTTTTTATCCGTAAGGGCTTCGCCCCCTGCCGCCGGCCCTCTCTCGGATAATGCGCTATGCAAGAGCTACGTCATGAGGCTTTGGCGCTGTCGTGAAGCAGTATCGGAACTTCATGCGTGGCCGACTCGTGATGAGCAAAACCACTTGATCACCAGAGGGGTTACCACAGTTGGCGGTTGGTAAGACGTCGTGACCCTGCGGATCTGCGTGAGGTGTGCCACCGATTTTTGGACATTTGGCAAATCCCTAGTGTTTTTAGACCCTGACCCTGCGGATCTGCGGGGTGCCACCGGATTTCCGAAATGTGGCAAATTCTTTTTGTTTTTGGACCCTGACCCTTGTAGAAATGTTGCAAATCCTTTTTGTTTTTGGACCCTCACATTGCGGATCTGCGTGGAGGGTGCCACCGAATTTCAGAAATGTGGCAAATCCTGTGTGTTTTTGGACCCTGACCCTACGGATTTGTGTGAGGGGTGCCACCGGATTTAAGAATTGTAGCGAATCCCCTGTGTTTTTGGACCCTGACCCCGCCGATCTGTGTGAGGGGTGCCACCGAATTTCAGAAATGTGGCAAATCCTTTGTGTTTTTGGACCCTGACCCTACGGATCTGCGTGAGGGGTGTAACAGATTTTCAGACATGTGTCAAATCCTGTGTTTTTTGATCCTGACCTTGCGGATCTGCGTGAAGGGTGTTAATTTTTACCCCCCAGAAATTCTGAGAACCTTCTGAAGGCGTGGTAGTTCTGCTGGTTTGGGCTCCTCCCCCCTCGCGCGTTCATCAACAAGGAACAGTAAGCAGCAATAAGCAAAACTGTAACAGTGGAAACTGGAAGGTGCAACTGGTACAGGGAGCAGCACAATCCCTGTCTACAGCCTGGTGGCCGGCGGATTTAAATCAAACCAGATAAACAACAACTTGGGTGTATACATAGATATACGTATTCATATATATATATATATATATATATATATATATGTATATATATATATAAATATATATAAATATATGTAATATATTATAAAATATATATATATATATATATATATATATGCTCGCCCCCCCCATGATCATACACATTCTCCTTTCATCTCTCCAGTGTTCCTCGCCTTTCCCTCATCATGCTCTTCTTCATGATGTGTTGATGCGCTGGCAGTCGAAACCCATTCGATTGCAGTCCAAACGGATGCAGTTCAATGGATTGCAAGCTTAGGGATCAGCTCCGTCTTTCGCGGCGCATTTCAATCCAAGCGACCGCGTTACAATCGGTTGCAACCCATTTCTATTCATCAACCTCTGCATCCAATTTCTGCGTCCTCCTCATGTTCCTGATGTCCCTCTCTCTCCTCCTCCTCATCCTCTTCCCCCTTCTCATCCTCCTCCTCTTTTTCCTCCTCCTCCTCCTCGTCGTCCTCCTCCTCCTCCTCCTCCTCTTCCTCCTCCCCGTTGTCCTCCTCCCCCTCCTTTTTCTCCTCCTCTTCCTCCTCCTTCACTCGTTCTCCTTCTCATTTTTTATTTCGTGCAGCACGCGCGTGTTCAAGGCCGTTGCTTCGCTTAGCCAGCGCCCCGCTGGGAAACCATGGGCGACCCTGAACACGGCGCGGAACAGTCGAACGCAAGCTCGAGAACAACCGCGTGTACAAGGCAATAGTAAAAAAGGACAGGGCCAACGCGGCGAAGCACGAGCTCAAGATGCGATTCCAGAGGCCGCTGTTGAAGAATATCGCGGACCTGGAAGGGCAGAGTGCGATCTATCCTCCTCTTTGCGCTTCAAACATCTCCAAACATATAAACGCATTGTCCCGCCTGCTCGTGCTCAGGTTGAGTGGTGCCAGGGCGAGGCGGCGGACAACTGGGAGCTCGCCGAGCAGCGTGCGTGGTCCAACGAGCAGCTTCGGGACACGATGTTTTGAAATTCCACCGCCACCACCCTGCCCGCAACCGCAAAAGACGGAACGGCACCGAGGAACGTCGCAACGACGGCAAACACACCACACGCAGCAAGGGCGACTCAGCAACGACGCAAGGGCAGCCGAGCAGGACGCAGACGCACGAAGCAACTGCGCATAGAAGAACCGCAACGGCAGCAACCGCAACGACCGCAACCGCAACGGCCGCAACCGCAACGTCCGCAACCGCAACAACAGCGACGCCGGCAAAGAGCACCAAACACGAAGCAAACGCAACTCCAGCGAGCCCACGCCGCCGAAATCCCCCCCGTCTGTTCGGGTGCCTTGCTGCCTCGCCCGCGCAGGCGCGAGCGCGGAAACTGACGGGGGAGCTGGCCGAGAGCAGCGCGGCCAAGGAGAACGCACAGGCGAAGGGAGCTGCAGACGCGAAGGCCCTCAGGGCCTGGAAGTCCCGGTTCGAGGCTTTCTCGCGCGTGTGCGACCAGGAGCTGCCGCCGACGGCGACGAAGCTTCTGAGGGGCTGGGCGACTTGGAGGGTCACTCACTTGAGGGCCATCCTTCGCTTTTCCCAGGACAACTAGGCAAAGCTCTAGGAGCCCGCCGCGAGGCCAAAGAACGCTTCGCTCGCTAACGGGAAGAGAGAGGCACGGCGCGGCGGGGGGCACGACCAGAGGCGCAGCAGGGGGCCGGCCGAGGAGGAGGGGGAGGGGGAGGAGGAGGAGGAGGCGGACAGGGGGAAATGGAGGGCGGAACGCGCTTCTGCCAGGCAGGGGGGGCTGCGCAACGGCATCGGCAGGATGCCGCGCAGGAAAAGCGGTGCAATGGCGACATCAAGACAACGGGACGAACCACCCGCCCAGAAAAGCAGGCGACGATGGAGCCGCCGACAAGCATGTTCAGTCTAACGTGAACAGGCGCATTGCTGCGCATAAAGGGCATCCTGATTCTAGGATGCCCTCTCTGATACGGGCGTCGTAGGAAAAGCTGTGCAATGATGGCATCGAGACAGCGAGACGAACCGCCCACCCGGAAAAGCAGGCGACGATGGAGCCGCCGTTAAGCAAGTGCAGTCTAACGTGAACAGGCGCACTGCTGCGCAAAATGGTATCCTGGTTTTAGGATGTCCTCTCCGGTACGGGCGTCGTAGGACACGCGGTGCAATGATGACATGAAGACAACGAGACGAACCACCCACCCAGAAAAGCAGGCGACGATGGAGCCGCCGACAAGCATGTTCAGTCTAACGTGAACAGGCGCATCGCTGCACGAAAAGGGCATCCTGATTTTAGGATGCCCTCTCTGATACGGGCGTCGTAGGGATTTTGTTCTTCTACTACGACTACCACTGCCATTCCTATCAGCTCTACGACGACTAGCACTACTACCACCGCTACTACTGTTGCTACTACAACCACTCCTACCATAACTACCGACAGCGCCACCGCCACGACCAGAGGAAGCCGACGAACCTCCAGACAACGAGGGCCCCGATCCCACCCGCGGCGCATTTTGGCTCAGTGCGTTTTTCTCGACCGACCGTCTGGGCCACCGTTCTGCCACCGTCGGCGATGGGAAAGCGTGCTATCAAACGCCCTGCTGCCGCCTCCGCGCCGAAGAAGCGGCCGGCGAGTGCTTTCAGGCCGCTCCCCTTGCGCAAGAGGGGCGAGGACAGGATGGGCCAGCGCAGGAAGCAAGCGGAGAAGGTCGAGTACGTGCGCCACGGGAAGAGGACCGTGAAATCCCGCAGGGAGCGCGAAACCTGGCGCCGCAACTACGACAGCTTTCACGGGGAAACTGCGGACCAGATGGTAGACCTGCTCCTCGAGGATGGCGTCCTGCTTGACTGGGAAGGCCGCGCCTGCCCTCACTGCGGCGTGGGAACCTGCGGCGCGCGGGTGCAGGGTGACAATCGCGGCCCGCATTGGCGATGCAACGGCGGTAGGCTGCGCGGCAAGACCGTCGACCCGTGCACCGCCCGCCCCGTCTTCAAGTCTGGCGGGGGTTGCCAATCGTCGAGTTTGTCGACGAAGGCCGAGGTCCTCTCCTGCCTCGCGCTCGGCGTGACCACCGCCCAGATGCACTTGCTGGCAGGTGCCAACCGCAAGATGATCGAGGGCATGAGCGCGGCCGCGGCAACCGTGTGGGAGATCTACGTGGAAAAGAACGAACCCAACGTTGTCTTCGGCGACGAAGCCCAGCGGCGCTGGTTCGACGTGGAGGCGGATGAGTCGGTCTTCCGCGCCCAGCTGTCCGACGACGGTCGTTCCAGGACGTGGGAACAGTGGGCGGGCGTCGTCGAGCGCGGGCGCCCTGATGGCCTCGTTCTGTGGAAGACCCAGTCAGGCGGCGCCGAGGCCAACGCGCCAGGCTTAGGCGCCATCAAGAATATGGATTGGGCGCCGTCCCTAAAAAGCCGCTTAGAGAACAGTGAGGTCATCTTGCGCTCTGACGGGGCCCGCAGCTACAAGATGCGCGCGTCGGGGCTCGTGCGCGACCACGTCGTGCACTGCGAGAAGCGGAAGAAGATCGACAGGAAGTGGGCTTGGTTGAGGCCAGTCTACTCGAAGGTTGTCACCCGCAAGTTGCCCGGCGTCTCCAAGATCAGGGTAAAGGCAGGGGCGCAGATCATCGACCGCGCCTGGAGGTTTTTCAAAACCCTCATTGGCACGCGCGCGGACCTCCCAGGCAGCAGGCGTCTCGCGGCTTCGGTTCGCTCGGTCCAGTTCGAGTGCTGGAACAAGGGCGAGGATATGTGGGCGGCCACCGCGGATGCCATCTGGGAGGTCGCGGGCGCGGCGTGCTGAGTGCCGATGTCGAGGGGTGTGTTTTTTTATTGCGGAGTGCCGATGTCGAGGGGTGTGTTTTTATACAGCGCGCATGTGTTCCCGAGTGCGCGTGATTGACGTCGCGTTGATTGCCCCCGCCGCAGCCGTGCCGCATCTTTGACTCATCGTCGTCGTGCCCACGCCCTCTTACTTCTTACTTCCATCTTCAGTGTGCATCGTTCGTCGTCGTCGCTCCCTCCCCAGGTGCTCAGCTGGCATCCGCTGCCGTCTGTGATCAACGCTTGCGCGCTGTTGCCCGTCATCCGAGGCCACCGCCCGACCCGCCTTTCTCTCGCCGCGGATCATGGCGAGCGCCCCTGCTGACCAGGTGCAGTCGCTGGGGCAGGTTGCGTGCGACGCCGAGGGGGGCGGCGAGCTCGCCTTTGAGGAGGCGTCGTTGATGGTCAGCGGTAGCAAGTTAGACTACCACCCCTCGAAGTGCGTCAAGAAAGGCAGGTTGGCTTTCGCTGGTGGCCTTTCTATCTTCGACCTTCCTCTGCTACCGATCGCGAATTCGAGTGCCGCGAAGTTGGTCGCTTTCGCCGACGTGGTATCCAACTACGAGGGCCCGATTGACTTCGACAAGGTGCACGAGTTGTACGCACAGGGTAAGTTCAAGGACTTGCAGGAGCCGCTGTCGCTCAAGCAGGAGCCCGTCGTCCCGTGCACGATGCAGATCTTCATCGTTCGCCAGAAGCCAGAGGACAGCGAGTGTTCGGCATACCGCATCCTCAAGGTCTTTTCTTTCGAGAAAAACAGAGCCGATTCTGCGACCATCCTCAAGTGTGCTCGCGGAGAGGCCCACAACATCGACTACGGCCAAAACTTTCGGACGGGGTCGATTGCGTTCCAGTTCATGCTGGGGAAGCTCGAGGGCTATCAAATACGGTGGGCGCGCTCGGATAAGGACCCCCCTCCTGCCCGCCCCAGCTCAGGCGCATTTCCCCCCACCCCGTGTTTCAAAACGAGTTGAGCGCCCTGTCTGTGGCGACCCAGCGATCGGGCCCCCCTGGGCTTCTCGCCGAATGTATGCCTATCCAGCGCCTCCACCGCAAGGTGCTTCACGATCGAGCCGCAGCGCGAGCGGAAGCAGCCGCTAGAGGAGGACGAGCGCGCGCAGGATTACACGTTCATCCGCATCCCCGCAGCAATAACAGGAACCAGTTCATGGAATGGGTTGGCACAGAGGTCAGCAGGGAGGGTTCGAAGATATTCGGATGGCCTGCGTCCAAGGTGGAGACTGCGCTGCGCAACTGCCAGAGGGGCAGGACGAATGCCAAACCGATCTCGCGCTGGAGTTTGACGCTAAAGGGCTTCTCTGGCTGGTTCCTCAATGGCGTCCTCCGCCTGATGATTGGCACACTCCGCATGCACGGGGTGCCGTGGGTCGGGAAGTCCAGAGTTGGCAAGAGCAACGGTTCGAAAACGCTTGCTTGGGTTCATTCGGCGCGCAGCATACAGAAGAAGGGCGCCGCCGATGAGATCGCTTTCCTGACGGTGAAGCACGTGGATTTCTTCAGGTGCGAGCCAACGACGGAGATCCTCCCTGGCATTTTCGACGACGGCCTGCTTCAGAAGGTTCGGCGGCCTGGCGTGGCCCGCGCAATTGCCGCCCGCGGCTTCCAGGGAGACTGCGGTTCTTCCCGCCGCATCGCCTTCCCAAGTGGAAGTCGCGGTGGCGTTGGTGATCGGGCGAATGCTTGGCCGCTTGAAGGTATCCGCTGATGTGCTCAAGGCTTTCTTGAACCCCAAGGGAGAGCACGCTCTGCTGTGGGCTCGGTGGGGCGGCTGCGCTTTCGAGCAAGGGCCGTGCAGACAGGCCGTCGCGAACCCCTACGACCGCGACGCGGAGAAGGCGGCGCTGGACGCCGCGACGCTAAACGAGTACGGCCTCGACCTGCTCAAGCGTATCATCGCGCCGTCTCTGGGGGATGTCAGGACAGAGGAGGACTTCCACGCCGTCCTCGCCAGGGCGCACGTGATCGTGGTGACGGACCTCGGCGTGCATTGGCGCGTGGCATCCGCCAACCTGCAGGATGGTGCAGAGTTCATGCCGTGGCCCAACCCCAGGAGCCCCGACCTCTTCGTCAGCGAAGTGCGGGACACGACGTCGCCAGCCATCCGCCCGCTCCCCTCAGACTACGCCGAAAAGATGGCTTGGTCGATTGGGTGCATGAGCAATGTGGTCGCGGGCCTTGACGTGCCCACTATTGCGACTGTCCATGTTGCTCCTATCTTCGGCGATGGCCCTGCGCGCGTTGTCTCCGCTGTCGGCAACGTTTCAGGGTTCGATCCAGGCGCGGCCAGCGCTCCGCCAGCCGCCGCGGCCGCTTCGGCGTTTCCCCAGCCGCCAACCGAGTTGTCCCAGGAGGAGGCCGCGTTCGGCTTCGGCGGCGGAAGGGGCGAACCGCCAGAAGACAGCTCGCGCGCCGCCAGCTCCGCGCAGCCCAACATCGCTGGGCGTTGCGGCGAGCTCACCTAGGAGGACCAGGGCGAGCAGCTCGCGATTTTCAAGAGCCTCGCCAAGGCGCACCACGGTGCGTTCGAGGACTTGTCCTCGCCTCTGCCAGTGAAGAGGGCGAGGGGGCTCATGATGGGCTGCGGCGGTCCGTTGTCACCCGTGGATGCCGATGAGCAGAGGGCGATCTTCGCTTCCATTGCCGCCTCGGCCCACGGTGAAACGATCGACGTCGAGGATGGCGACGGTCTGTCGGCAGAGCTCGCGCGCGTGCTTGACGAGGGGGGGGCGCCCTCTGAGTCGGCGACGGCGCGCCGCGGCGAGGCTGACTGAGGAGGCGGCCGCGCCGTGCGAGCGCGCGTGATGCGCGACGCAGTCGTAGCCGATGGCAGTCGGTGCGATGCGTGCGCGCACGTATGAACCACCATCTTTTGTAGACCTCTATGCGCGCGCTCCGCCTGGAACATAGCAACGCAACGGTTGCGACAGATTGGGTAGCAATCGGTGGAATTGCGGTACCTACCCCCATGCTGACGGCCGGCGGCGCAGCGGAGGAGGGGGGGAGGGGGGGGATAAGAAGGAAAGGGGAGGGGGGGGAGAAGAGGGAGAAGGTGAAGGCGGGAGGAGGAGGAGGAGGGGGGGGGGGGTGGGGGCGAGGAGTGGTGGAGAGGATGAGTAGGAGGAGGAGGAGACT